AAAAAAAAAAAAAAAAAAAAAAAAAAAAAAAGACTAAATTTAGAGCTAAAATCCGGCAGTTCCAGTGATGGGCCACTAGATGGCGATCCCTGCCAGCATGTGGCTCAGCCACCTGGCCACTTGGTGTTTGAACAGGGGACCGCTGCAGTTTTCCAGGGTTTGGCAGATTAGTGCCTGGAAGGTTCATACAGCCACACAAATTGTCCCAGTGATTTCACACTTATCCCAAACTATATAGGTTTGCTTTCCATCTCCATCTCCGTGCTTATTTGTACATATTCCTCCAGTTGTAACATAACCAAGGGAGGGCGGCACAGTCACTCTCAAGCCTTTCTTAGGTTATTAGCTGAAGGCTCAGGATAATAATATAAATACCAGGCTACAATTCAGAAATTGAGGCTTCAGTGTGGTATTTGGATGCATATTCTACTCAAGATGCAGGTGGAGTGGAGCCCCTTCTTATATTAAGAAGAGACTTAAAGCCTGTGCCTAGTCTTGTGACCAATATATTGAGAGTACTTTCCATTACAGCCCCCTACTCCTGGCCTCATCGTGTCACATTCTACTTCGGCTGTGCATGACAAAGGACCCAGCATTAGCTTTGTTTAGCTGTACCAATTGCCTTGAACTTGTGTTAAGGGATTGAGGTTTGGGGTAGCCACGGTAATGTTCTAAGTAGGTGTGTGGGTGTCGAGGGGAGGTGGAGTGGGAGGAAATGTGTTGAAAAAGAAGTAGATAGAAGGACATCCTGAACTTACTGGTCCATGCTGGTCACTCGTGGTGTCCCTTTAGGTGGAATCTGCCCGTTCAGGATCCTCCTCTGGATGAGGTACTTTTTGGGCTCAAGGTCACCTTTCTTTTTCCAGGCACTCAAATGAAAGAGACGGGCTGCCTGTTGAGATCATTAGGAAAGGAACACGTTTCCAACCCCTTGGAGTGGTAGAGGGCTCATCTACAGCAATGTGATGGTGAAGGTCCGTGAAGCTCAAGTCTACCATCTTAACGACCATACCATGGTGTCATGTACTTGGGTCCAGGTAAACTCCTCATTTGGCCTCTCAGGAAGTGCAGAATGAACCTGTTTCTTCTTCCATACTTGAAGATGTGTGCTATCGGAGAGAATTCTCATGTTCTTTTCTTCTCTGACTTAACGTCTCAAGAGGGCAAGTTAAAAAAATCTTTTCAAAACCCTTGCCTTGTTTATCCTGCTGAAAAAGACCAGCTGTTCTGAATGGAAGCCCTTGTACTGTGCAGGAAGCATTTCAGAAACGTGAAAAGAGTTTTTGGTTGTCACAATGATTGGGAGTGCTTTCGGTATGTTGTTGTCAAGGCCAGGGCCATCACGAAATGTTTGGATCTCACTGGAAAACAGCAACAACAATAACAACAACAAACAGAAACCAGGGAAGGCAAGGGTGGATGGGCACAAAACTTTAATATCAGATTAGTGTCGAGATGAGGGCAAGGGAGCCCTAGCCCCAGAACGAGTGCCAACACCTCCTGTCTCATTGTCTTGGCCAGAGATTCTAGAAGTCCTCGGAAACAGAGAACAGCCATACCCAGTGAAGAATATCCGCCCATCCTGCAGAAATGGCCGTATCCAACTATGCATTTCAGGTAGGTGAAAACCTGTTTATAATTTTCCGAATCTAGAATACTGTTTTGCATGTGGTCATCGGATAGTTTTTGTGAAGTATTAATACATACTGCATTTTCTAGGAATGTGATTTCTTGTTAATTGAAGAAAGTCATTCTTTTCTTTTGCTCAGAACATCACTGAGAGTAATTCATGGTTTCAGAAAGCCATGGCACAGACAGCAGTGTCCTATGTGGTATTTGTGCCTCCAGAATAAGATAGAGGTTTTGCAAATGGGAAGGGAATCAAGAGATGGACGGAGGGTAAAGGGGATGGGAAAGGGATGAAAAAAGAGTTGAGAATGCGATACACACGGCCCAGCTCTCCACAATGAATGTAATCATTATGTATGGCAAACATGTGCTAGTAAAAATTTAAAAAGAAAACATATTTCATATTATTCATTGTTAGTTCTCTCTCTATATATCCTATAGTTTTATCATTTTAGCATGTGTAGCTGTTCCCAAGGATATGATTAATGAGCACATTTACATACTTAATTCATAATTAATATATTAATAAATTAATTTTTATTTTATCTTATTAGGGCAGGTTAATAGTTATTTTTTTTAAGTATAACAGCTAGTAAATTATATTATGCACGATTTCACTTCAGAGTAGCAGAGAGATATTGCATAATATTTACCGTGACAAGAGACTAAGTGTTAATGCTTTATAAGCTAGCTTTTTATTGCTGCTGTAACAAATTATGACAAATGTAGTAACGTAAACAAACATAAACTCATCATCTTACAGTTCTGGAGGTGAGACGCCAGCAGTGGGATTCACAGGGCTGAAATTAAGGTGAAGGCCAAGTGGTGCTCCCTCTGGGTGTCCTGGTGACAGTCTGGACCCTTGCCTAGACCAGGTTCTGGAGGGTGCCTCAGTTTCTTGGCTCGTGATCCATTCCTCCATTTTTAAGATCAGCCACATAGCACCTCCAAATATCCTACCCTCTTGTTTCCACTCTTGTATCTCCTTCTCTGATCCTGGTCCTCCTGTCTCCCTCTTACAAGGATCCTTGTACATCTGTACCACAGGGATTATCCAGGATCATCCCCCCATCTCAGGGTCCTTAATTTAATCACATTTGCAAAGTCCCTTTTGCCACGTGTTAGCCCATTTTGTGATGCTATCACTGAATGTCACAGACTGCATACTTCATAAAGAGTAAGTTTATTTGACTCATGGCTTTGAAGGCTGGGGATTCCAGATCAGGTGGCTGTAACTAGAGTGGGCCTCCTTGCTTGAGACCGAAGGTGGCACAGGGCACCACCTGGCAAGGTGGAGCATCTTCATGCAGTTCTCTGTCCTCTTATGAAGCCATGGTCCATTGGATCAGGGCCCCATCTTTATGTCTGTCTTTAACCTTAACAACTTTCCACAGGCCCCACCTCCAAACACCAAGACTGGACTGAGTTTCCACCTTCTTCATTACCTCATGGGGATTCCACGTCAACATGGGTTCTGGTGAAGACGTTCAGTCCACCAGCAACATAGTCACAGTCTGGGGATTTGGGCCTGCATGTCTTTGGATAGCCATTGTTCACCTGCTACACTTTGATAATATAGTAATTACTGTTCTGATAATGTTGGTGCTCATAGAAAAAAATGACGCTTTGGGCTGGTGCTTCCTCTCTCTTTCTGATCTTGGGGTAGGTAGATTTCTTCCAAGACTGTGGCTTGGGCTGCACATGTTCCAGGGCAGAGAAGAGCAAACCATTCTCTGCTGGGCTGAGCCACTGGTTTCCAGGGCAAGATTACAGTGGCAGGGTCTGGAGTTTCCAAGCATTGTGGATTCAGGGCATTCACTGGATTGAAAAACTCCTTCTTACTGTTCATTTTCTCTTGGAAGTGTGTGATGTTTATGTTTCTTGAGGTTTAAATGTTAAATTTCTAAGCTGTTTTGCTCTTCAAGATTCATCTGAAGTCACTGATTCTTTGGCTTCAGTGGTCTATGAATTCTGACCTAAAAACCAGGATATATGCTCTTGTAGTCTAAGAGTTAAGATATAAGGATTTTTTGGATGTGCTTCCAAGGGTCAAAGGAATTTGGGGAGATGCTAGTTGTTTCAAGACACACTAGAATTTGTGGCACATCCTGATACTTTGGGGAGGGTAATATGACAGGGTAAAGCAGCCATCATTTAATGAATATTTTATAAAGTGCCAAGTGCTGTGTCATGTCCTTATACATATTACCTTGTTTAACTCTCCTTTCAGTCCACCCTTGTTTATCGCCCTTGTTTTGCATGTTCTGTCTAAAAATGGTAGTGTCAAGCTTAGAATTCAGAGTCAGGTCTGTTCAACTCAGAAAGCAGTGCTTATGAGCTACCATACCCATAAAGATCCAGGACACAGCATACCCCGTAAATAGACATGTCTTAGCGCATTTGTACCACTGTAACATAAAACCGAGGACTGGGCAATTTATAATGAATAAAATGTTTTTGGCTTATAGTTCTGGAGGCCACAAAGTTCAAGATGGAGAAGCTGCATTTCTTTGAGAGCCTTTTTGAAGGCATCACGGGTCAGGGGGCTCATTCTTTCATCAGGAACCCACTGCCAAAGTAAGTAACTCTTGATAATGGCATTGATCCAGGTGAAGCCCTCATGAGCTAATCACCACTTAAATGTACTCTCTCACACTGTGCACTGGAAGTTTGCAACACATTTGAACCATGACAAGAGGTATCAGTATTATGTGGAAGGTGAGCCACAGCTCCAGACCTGCAAGTGTCTTTCTTTTCAACCATAGTAAGTTCTGTTTGATGGCCAAGAAGAATGGCATTTAGTTCAATGAGATTTTACAACTGTGCCTCTAAAGTGCTCCTGGGTAGGAGGAAGGACAGAGCACACTGCCATTCCCCTGGCATCGGATGTGTTTCAGGGAATCTGATAGAAAGATTGAGAAGGGGTTATTTTCAAAGGGCTCATTCTCTGTGTCCAGCCTGTATCTAGTACACTTGCATCATCTGTGAAGCTAAGAACCTCTCAGACCTCCGTGCCTTGGTGTGGGGGTGCTGTGGGAGCCCTAGGTTATATGGGGAAGGAGGGGTTCTCACTGTGAGAACCCAAACGGTTTGGTTACCTGTATGCCAAAGGGCTCAGTTTAGCCTCTTCTTCCTGCAAAGTGTCCCCCCTGCATCGGGGAGACACTAGGGGTAGAGTAAGAGGCCCATCTTACTTGAAGTGTGAGCCTGACAGCTGAGCCGTCCCAGAGCAGCAAATATCACCTTGCCTCTTTTCTTGGACTCCTCCAGCTGTCTGCTTTTGATAGACAGAAGCATCTGGCTGCTAAAAATATCCTGCTGACCAAGTGCTCAACTCAAGTGGAGCCTGACTGCAGTGTGGAGCTTAGCTCCGGCAGAGGGTTGCTTCTCGCAAAGGAACTTTTGCAAACTTGTCAGGCCCTATCGTGGGACCACACTAGTCTTTAGCTATTTTCTACTGTGCTGGGAGATGAAGGAGAATGTTTGCAGGTCTCTGTCCTCTTTCTCACTCTACCCCTGACTCCAGGAACAGTGGTGGAGGGGGAGGTGAGGGCCCAGACTCCGAGGAGGGTGGGGAAGGGGAGGTGGCCTGTCCATTTATAGTCCTGCTCTTTGGGATGCTGAAGGTGCTGAAATAGCAGCAGGGACAAGAGGCTCGGCACAGTAGGAAGTAACCACTGAGCTGGCCGCACAGACCCTGAGATGACAGTAGGGAGCATGGAGAACGTGGAGGTCTTCACTTCCGAGGGCAAAGGCAGGGGTCTGAAGGCCACAGAGGAGTTCTGGGCTGCGGATGTCATCTTTGCCGAGCGGGCTTATTCCGCAGTGGTTTTTGACAGGTATGAAATGTGGGAGTTGCTTTCCTCTTTCCTGTTGGCTCAGCTGGTGCCAAACTCCCAAATATTTCGCTTTCACACATCATTGCGGAAATGGCACTTCTGACACCTGTTTCCTTGCATAAGCGAGGAGTCATTGCCTGTGACTTGCTGTGGCCCCTCAAAGGGCTGGGAAGGTGAGCGAGGGCTTTGGGACAGAGTCTCCTAACATCAGTCAGCTTGGTTGACAGCTGCGGCAGAGGTGAGGTGCTATGGGAACTCTCTTTTTAGCTCTTTTTGAAATATTAAAATATCTATAAATATATTAGAAGATAAAACGGTTGCTGAGACTAAGAAGTGCGGTGATGATTTAAATGTATGTCTTTCTAGAATGTTCTTATGTAATTGTGTTTGTCTGCACTTATTGAAATGGGTAGCTGTAGTTTGTTTAGTTTTTATTTTTATAGATTGCTGCTTAGCCTTTGAGCTAGGATCAAGTGTATTTTAAAAAAAATTTAAGTGTATTTTTTATAGAAATGAGATTTTACTTCAGCTACCATTTTAGATCTTGCTCTTTCCCCTAGACATATTTTAATGTCTATCCTCATGGGAATGACGAGACCACAGATACTTCTTTTAAAGCCTCAAAGAGCTCTTTCTTTTAACTACATGTAGAGCTATCCATATTGATTCATATACTATATGCATCACCACTTTTAGCTGCTGGGAAGATTCCACTCTATAAATATATGACATTTATTTCTCCATTAACAACGAGAGATGTTTGATAGTTTACGATTTTTTATAAAATCCAACATTTCTGCAATTAAAATGCTTTCTCGTGTCTACTTATAGCCATGCAGGATTGTTCTCTAGGGTATATGACTAGAAGAGGAATTGCTGGGCCATAGGATATGCTGTTTTCAGTTTTGAGAGGTCTTATCAAATTTACCTTTCCCATTCTCCACAGTCCTGTCCAAACGGGGCCATCAAATCTTTAAAAAATCCTGCAGAGCGATAGCATTGAAATGAAAGTATTCCCCGAGTCCAAGGTTGAAGTAACCGGCCTGGTATTTATGTGGTCTGAGTTAACACAGTCTCAGATAATCTAGGCTTGTGATCGTCTCACTGTTCCAGTCATCCTGGGCATGGGTGCTGCTTTTTAGCAATAACTTCGTTAGCATTCAAATTCTCTTGGTTTCCTCCCTACCAAGACCTACAGGGAAAAGGCAGTGAAGTGGGACACATGGTTCACCACCACCTACAGAATATCAGGAGCTGATAGTCATAGGTCCTCAGGGGAAATCGTCTTATGTCATTAATTTATGTCTGTGTGTGTCAGAGGTGGGGTGAGTGCAGGTAGGGAGGCAGCTGGATTCAGTCAAAATAGACAAATTCAGAAAGGCAGGGACTGGAAACACTGATTTTCATTCTCTCACCAAGTTGCCACCTGACCTTAAAAGAACATCTCCTCCATTTGATGTCTCAGATTCCCCCAAATCAAAGTAGCCAGTTTCTCTCTCAAGAATGTTCGGGAGTGGTGTATGGTCTCCCAGTGAAACATTCTTATTTTAGAAAATGCAGAAAGAAGAAATATATCATCACAAAAGATAATCACTCTTAACCTTTGAGTGTTTTCTTTTAGCTTGTTTTAAAATAGCTTTCATAGCTGGGTGTGGTGGTACACACCTGTAATCTCAGCATGCAGGAGGCTGAGGCAGGAGGATCGCTGAGTTCAAGGCCAGCCTGTACTACAAAGTGAATTTAAGGCCAGCCTGAACTATATTGCAAGAGTCTGTTTCAAACAAAAAAACAAAACTAGCTTTCACTCATATTTGTACTACACATTAGGGACCGTCATTTATTTTTCTTTTAGAAAGTTACACTTCTTCTGTGCACTTATACACTCTTCAGAGACAGAGGATATAAGGGCTGTATGTTCTACCATTTGCATCAGCATTTAGGCTGTATCTTGTTTTTGTTATTATAATTTATCATTCATTTGAAGTAATAAATTCCCCAAATTTTGCAGATAAGTGTTACATAAAATGTTAGGTCACTACCACAAAGGTAATAACAGAATGACAGGGTTAAATGACCTTTAAAATGACTGATAAGGGGGCTGTGGCTGTTGCTCAGGGGTAGTATGCAATCTTAGCATCATAAGCACAGCAAAAGAAAATGACAAGACAAAGAAATGGAAGAAAATTAAAAAGAGAACATTTCCTAACAATGTTTTCTCCACATCTGGGCATGGCAATGTATGCCTAGAATCCCAGCACTTGGGAGGCTGAGGCAGGAGAATCACTGTGAGTTCCTGGCCAGCCTGGACATCCATACATAGAGAGAACATTTGTCAAAAAAACAAAACAAAGGCACCCCCCCCACACACAAAAACCCCAAGTAAACAAAACCAAAAAACCTCCTGAAACCTCAAAGTAAATACATACAGTGTGAGCCATGGTGTACTCCACGCTTGGCCCGGAATAAATTGCTGGCAAGGATGCTGTACAGAGTCAGGCCCCAGAAGCAGAGTCGAATCACAAGACCTTGAAGATCTCTTTCAGTCTGTGATGCTGTGGGCTGTGTGATTTCTTCAGCCCGCGCACAGGGCTCCCAATGAGGTAAGAGAAGAGTGCCAGGTGAGTAGAAGAAGGGAGCTTATTCTGTGCATTATTTTCATTCAAAATCAAATATAAGAAATGACACACGAATAGTGCTTACGGGCAGGATGAAGAGCCAAAATAGTATTCAATTCTTCCTTTTCAACGGCCTCATATACTTGAATGTAGAATCTATCTAACCTAGGGTTTTTATAAAAAAATTTTGAGGCAGGGTCTCCCTATGTAGCTCAGGGTCTTGTGTTTACTATTCAGCCCAGGCTGGCCCCACATTCGCGGTGATCCTCCCACCTCAGCCTCCCAAGTGCTGAGATTACAGTTGTGCGCCACCATGCCCAGTTTAGCCTAGGGGCTCCTAATCTGGATCTGTGGATGCTTGGCTAGGAAATATTAATAACTGGAAGATCAAAATTCATGTGTGTAGGCACACATGCATTTTATTTCTGTTAGGAAGTCCATAGTTTTCATCACTTTCAAATGTTCCTCAGCCCAGAAGGTTGAGAACCAGTGAATTTATTAAATCCACTCGAACGGGTGGGGAAACTAAGAGGTTAGAGGGGGTAACGTGCTTTCCCAGGTCTGGTGAGGAATAGGGCAAGACTGAGTCTCACTGTGTCCCATTCAAGTTTTCACTTTTCAACAAGTGGCCTGCTTAATTTTGTTTTGTATTTGTAGGAACAATAAATAAATTTACCTTTAATAAAAGAAAGAGGATCCACTATCAGTTTTAGAAGAATTAAAAGCTGACCTGAGGCCTTGAGGTTGTTAGAGCTAGAAACTCATAGGTAAGCAACAAGAATATACATGTGATCTAAAAAAGGACAAAGTGTTTATAATAATAAACCAACGTATCAGTTTCCTAATGCTGTAACAAGTTACCTATGGTAACCTGTGGTACCCCAGTGACTTCAAACAACATAAATTTACTGTCATACAGTTCCAGATATTAGATGTCTAAACTGGTCCCAGTTTTCCGTTTCTTTGCCGTCTCCAGTGTCTAGAGGCTGCCCACAGCAGGGAAAAGGCTCATGGCCCCCTTCCTGCATCTTGAAAGCCTGCAATGGCATCTTGCCCATTCTGACCCCCTGCCTCCCTTGGATGACTCGTGATGACATTAGATCTACCTGGAGAATAGGATGCT